TCCAAATCATCCGGATCTAGCTTTGTCTTACTATAACATAGCCAAAATGTATCACGACAGAGGTGAACATTCAAAAGCACTGTGCTCTTACCAACAATCGTTCGAAATATTCGAAAAAAATCTTCCGCCCCGTATATATGTACACATATGTATATATGTGTGGGTGAGTGCGATGGCGAGGGTAATTGGAAGTAATTTGGTGGCTCTTTCCGGATTCATCTAAGTTCACTCTCGCACCCGCACCCTCATCGTGGATATGTGTTCTGTTGTACCACTTTACTATGAACCAAACTTATGGGTGGAATAGGAATAAGTACTCGTGCAGCAAAAGATCGAGGAAGATTCATAAGATTGCTACTGTCCTAGTATATTTACATGATTCGAAAAATAGTAAATGAGTAATTACTTTTTCAACCAAGATGACGATGTGGGTAGCGTAGATGATTGAGCGATCGACTGGCTATTGGAAGATGTGACTTCGATTCCCATTCTGCTTTTATGGTTCGTTTTACTTAGTCTTTCGTTCCAGGTGAAGTATGTCATGCAGATTTATTCCTTTCACCTCACTCATGTAAATATCAATGTGTGGACAAGTGAAATGATGAGATATAGTTTCATGTAAACTCGTTCAAGCGCTTTCTCTTGCGGCTGAAAAAAAGATTTAAAATCACCCTTCACCCACCCATACCCCTTTATTTGTCGAATTGAATCTATAATTCCTTTTTTACAGTTTCGATATTCCGTTTTACACTTTGGAGACGAGAATCGTTTGCATGCACTGAAATCTCGAACATGTCTAGAGCACGTTCAAAATGTGACAGCGCTTCTGAATACTTTCCAATGCAGTGATATACAGTACCGACATTATGGTGCAAAGTAGCCAAATCAGGGTGATTTGGAGGAAGAGTTTCTTGATAGATTTCAAGTCCTTTCTCGTAAAATCCCCATGCTGTCGCGTACTCTCCCATCCTGTAATACAGCGAAGCGATATTGTCGAAGGAACTCGCCATACTGGGATGCGTGGGTGGAAGAGCTTCTCTGAAAATCTCCATTGCTTTTTCATAAAACGGAAGTGCTTTGGAGTCCTCTCCCATTTGGACATGAGTCGCACCGACATTATAGTAGAAAGTAGCCAAATCATGGTCGTTTGGAAGCGGAGTTTCTTGACCAATTGCTAGCGCTTTTTCGTAAAACAAAAGTACTTTTGGATATTCTTTGATGTCATAGTGCAGTGAAGCAATTTTATGGTAGGCAATAGCCAAATCAGGATGACTTGGAGGAAGGGCTCTTTGAAAAATTCTAAGTGCTTTTTCGTAAAACGGAAGTGCTTTAGAGTACTCTGCCATGTTATGATACGCCACAGCGATGTGATCGCAGACAATACCCAAATAAGGATGACTAGCAGGAAGATTTTTTTCGAATATTTCGAACGATTGTTGGTAAGAGCACAGTGCTTTTGAATGTTCACCTCTGTCGTGATACATTTTGGCTATGTTATAGTAAGACAAAGCTAGATCCGGATGATTTGGAGGAAGAGATTTTAGTCGAATTTCCAGTAGCTTTTCGTTAAATGCGAGTACTCTTGAATCTATCGTCATGTCTTCAAATATCCCAGCGATGTTGTTGGGGGAAACGGACAAGGAAGGCTGATCCGGTGCAAGAGTTCTTTCATACATTTCAAGTGCTTTCACGTAAAAAGATGCGTCCGATGATGTTCTTATGCTTTCATCAGCTGTAGTTATGTTGTGAAAGTTGGATGCGAACGAATCATGATGCACAGGCAACGCTTTTTCGTCAATTTCAGATGACTTGTCGTAAAATATAAGCGATCTAGCACACTCTCCTGTTTTGCAAGAAATGAAACCACTGTTGTTGTGAGAAGTAGACAAGAAAGGATCGTTTGCAGGAAGCGTTTTCTTCTGGATTTTAACAATTTTTTCAAGATAGGAAGCAGCTGCCTCAAAATCACTTTGATCATATTTGATATTAAAAAATTGGTTATAATATTGCACTCTGTCAGAGTCGTTAGACGCCTGTTCGAGTAGTGTGTTGTAAAGTTCTTCGGCCTTGTCCAAGTAATTTATTCGAAGCAAAAAGTTAGCCAATCGGTCCCATCCTGTGTCACCTCCAATCTGATTTGCTATATGATTGGTGAGTATACGAAGTTCTTCATCATCATCAGCAGTCAATTGAAGATCTACTTGGTAAAGTCGACCATTATCATCTATTGGCTCAATGTTGATAATACGAAATACGGTATGCATTGAAAAGAGAACTTCGTTTTCTTCCTCGCAATAACTGACTTGAGTGATGTTAGCAAACGGGGTCGAGGAAACCGATGGATTAATGAACATTTTGAATAGTACACCGATCTTGCCAGGTATTTCTGAGTTTAATTGTGCATACCCGCGAGCAACTACATCATCTGTACTTGTGGATAAGAAGTTGTTAAAAGATAACAATCCGCTTCTTGTTTCCAGGAGTTTTTCAACGTCTTTTTCCCGCAGAGCTTGTCCTCGGTACACCATCAAGGACTTCGGATTATCAGTTAAAAACTGCTTTTGATGCAGCTGCTGGATTTCTTGGTGTAATTGAGAGATATAGAAGCCCATTTTAATAATAACGTCGACTTGTAATGTGCGAAGAGCATCATTGAGCATCGAATAGATGAATGACGGACGAGTATACCACCACACTGCTGATTTATCGCGGTATTCTTTTTTAAATAAATCGATATTGACTGGAGACCCGCAATTGTTACTTTGACAGAAAGTAACGAAGTCATGTAAGGATTTTTCATCATATTTTGTTTCCAAAAGAATTTCTTTAAAAATCTGAGTATACATGAAAGAAGGCTCCAGTTGATCTAGATCTTGGTTAGAATCGCTTCCATTTACTGAAACAAAACTCATGGCAATAGAATCCTGATCTTGCTGCTTGATCGCTAATTCTATTGCTCTGCATAGAAGCGTGCTTGTCCTATAAATGCCTTTCACCTTCGACCATTCTTTGATCCATTCGCTAGATAGAGATTTGCTATTAGAGAAGCCGTAAACGTGATCAAGTTGAGGAATATCATGGATAAGCGGCATTATTTGTTTACTAATAGTATCCTCTACCAGAAGAAAAGTCGTAGTGTCTTCCAAATCAGTAAGAAAATCGACACATTCATCTAAACTTGTGAAAGTAGTCACATCATTCAGCACATTTTGCAATTGGTTCAAAGCGCTTTGAAACTCTTCATTTGTTTCGTCGATACCCACGTTAAGATAGATGAGCGCATAATTTTGGGCCATGTCTTGCTTTGAACGAATAATATTCGATAATATTGTTGTCGTTGTAGCGACATCAGATGTGTTTTGCGCCATGTGAAATTTCTTCTGCCCTATTTGTCCGCTAATATTAATATGAATTGGAAATGTAAACTAGAAAATAGGAGTTATTTGCAGATCAGAGAAAGTCCACTTAATTGTTTGGAATAAGTACATATATTTTCATTTAACACTGATGAACAAACGTCACTTAGTTTCTATCGTGAATACTACCATGGAAAGCACGAGAGATCAATCGAAACCGATATTTCAATCGGTTTCTACGAGAACGAGCAAAAGAAAAACAGCATGTTTCATTTTGATCAACATTCTCTAACCTTGATCCACACGGTAAGTGTGGTATGTCAATATGTGTGTTATACATATGTGTCAGTCAAAATTCGTCTTCAGACAGAATTAAGCTGTGACAAAATCCTTATGCTGATAAATGGTAGTTGAATTTTCCCTAGGCAAAATCAGTTGCCAGAAAATCTCAGTTCATTACATGCGATAGGTTTCAAGTTCTTTTATTGTCTTGCTTCCAATCAGAATGTTGCAGTTGTAGAGCTCGCCACCAATCTCGAGCAGAATCTACCTCTTCTCTCGGAAGTTGTAGAGCTCGCCACTAGGACTATGAAAGTTCCAGTTCACGAACTAGCAACAGTTCAAAAGAACTGGTCACCAGTTCTTTTTGAACTGGAACCGTAGATGGACATGTTTTCCTTTCGATTTCAACTCTCATACAATGTATTTCCGAATTCTATTTCTAGCTCTCTTCTATGACCTGGAAAGCTTCTGCGAATGGTATAGGCCACTTGACCACGCTCCGGAAAAAACATAAAGACGGTGAAGCACTGTTTACTCATTGAGATAAAATCGACGATTAACCAGCGGATAGATTAAGGCTTCAAACCCGCATTCAAAGCAGATAGAGAGTCACGGAACATCAACTATTCATAAAGTTCGATACTCGAAAGAGAACGGAACTAAAAGATGCAAAATCGAGCGACAAAGAAAGAAAGAGAGATTCTTCTTCATCTTTCGAGACACAAAAGCTTCTTCAATCCTCAAACAACCGACAACAAGTCCGATGGTAGTTTTTAATACCTACGACAAACAGACCTTATCCTTTCAGTCTAGCGAATAATCAAGATTTCTACTCAAATGCCTTTTCGACGCAGCTCTTTGAAGGAGCCTCTTTTGCGCATAATCGTTCGCTGAACAAGAGCGAAAAAGATGTTAGTATACGGAACCATTGAAGTTGTGATGACTATTGGGAAGAAAAGAGAAGAATTCTCTCTCTGCAAGGCGCATTCTTGTCGGATATAGTCTGTAGATAGTTTTTTTATTTTTATTTCAAAGCATCCGAGCGATTCTCCGTCACTTCCTGTCATTTCCCGTGATCTCCTTGTTTGAACGAGACTTTTAAGGCGGAACCTACTGGCAACAGTCGTCCCGCAACCATCTCCATTATCTCTATCCCCACAGTGTCCTCACTCCGATCGAGCGATGCCATCAAGCTTTAGAAAGAATCGAGGAGTTACTTCATCTGTTTTCTTTTTTTTCCTTCTTTTGCCGTCACTCGTAGCATTTGCTCTGTTTTCCTCGATTCATGGAAGCTCGTCTGTAATAAAGGCAGTGCTAGGAATCAAATTGACCTTTTCATTTATTGAAATCGATCGCAGACAGAGAGACTACAATGATTAACACTGACAATGACATCGAATTGAATCGAGATCTCTCTCTTGCTGTGTTGTCCATCCATTGAGTAATGAAGAATCAGTTTATTGTTGCATCAGAGAGAATCAAAAATAGAGCAATGAAAGGATTCCCGAACTTCCTAGAGCACGATTCGTCGTCTTCTCATGGGTGATCGGAAGAAGACAGATGAACGAGAGATTCCTCACTGGCCAACAATGTTAGAATGGGATTTCAAGAAATCTATTTGCATGGCAAGAGGAGAAAAGAGATCGGTCACTCTCTCTTATGTTTTCTACCTCCCCGCGTTTAGATGAGCAAGTTCCAACCGATGCGGTATCTTCCGTCTCGATGGTATGTTCATGCGATATTTACTAGCGAATCGATTCGAATCTCGCTTCATCTAGTTCGCCAGATAGAATCGATGTGTTTGTCGAAAACTGCATCGAAGTTCTTCTAGCGAACAATGGAGTTTTTCTTTTCCCGAACATGGCGACGATGGAAGAGACGCTTGTAATGACGATGATTTGCAATTGATTCGTTAACGGGGCTGCCATTCTAACTAGCATAGAGTTATGCACTCGAAGAGAGAAGAGACTGTTGCATCACTCTTCGCTGAGAAGATTAATGGATCAAGGCGACCGTCTCAGGAGGAAACGTTTCGGCTCGATCGACATTCAATTCGATGTATCTTGTTTGCACTTTTCTCCGTCAAACCTAGCACGCTCTAATATCTCTTACATGTGCTGTGAAACTATTTCATTTCTAAATCGTTTCTGCTGGGTCCTTTTATCCGGCAGCTGTAAACCAACGCGAGAAAACTGCGTGCCGGTGGGGCAAGACTACATTAGCGTTAATCGGTCTCGGTAGGACAATTACAGGAGATCTGTACCGACCTTGGCTTTCAAAATTGACGCACTAGCGACAGAACACTCACATTTTTGTTCAAGCAGTTGATAATTCCTTAGCAACAATGTAATAACAATGTAATAGTTCCGAAGTGATGAGCAATATGAGTGTGAAAACCATGGTGATCCACAGCCTGATGGTTGGCAGAGCAGTGAGCGATCAGCTTGTCAAGTACAGTGCGACTTATCGTGGATAAATGAATCTAGAAAGGAGAGTTGCTCGACTGAAAGCTTTGGCATGCATTTTTATAGGTTTATATTTTGCCTGATCATCGTTACCTTGGTCGTTTTCCTCTTTCTTCTTTCACACCACACAGCACGTGTGAAATGTGTTTGAAGAAACAAAATAAACATTTACATTGAATGAAAAATGCCAATCCATAGCAAATGCACTGGATTGGCATATTATTCACAATCATTCTCCAGAATGGGTGAAATTATTATTACCAAATGTTGTTGCTACGGTAGATTCTACGTATATTTATCTACAAAAGTCGTGGAATTTCGATAATCAAAAGAAAA